ATCGGTTTTCTATTCCCAGACTGGATGATATGTTAGATATGATGTCTGGAGCCACCATATTTTCCAAAATAGATTTGAAAAGTGGCTGCCATCAAATTAGGATTCGTCCAGGGGATGAGTGGAAAATAGTTTTTAAGATAAAAGATGGTCTATACGAGTGGATGGTTATGCCTTTTGGATTGACGAATGCTCCTAGCATCTTCATGCGAGTTATGACTCAGATACTACGACCTTTTATGGGTAAATTTTTGGTCGTATACTTTGATGATATGTTAATTTATAGTAAGTCGCTGGAGCAACATATTGACCATGTTAGTTAAGTCTGTCTTACTTTGAGGAAAGAAAAGCTATTTGCAAATCCTAAGAAATATGTTTTCATGACTGATCAAGTTATATATTTGGGATTTGTTGTGTCTTCTCAAGGAGTTTATGCTGATCCTTAAAAGGTTCAGGTAATTGTAGAGTGGCCCGAGCCCCGAAGTACCCGAGATGTAAGAAGTTTTCATGGGCTCGCAACTTTCTACGGACGATTTATCAAGGAGTTTAGTGCTATTATGGTCCTAATTACGAATTGTCTAAAAAAAGAGGAATTTCAATGGTTCAAAGAAGTCGCCACGACTTTCAAAGAAATCAAGCAGAGGATGACTGATGCACGTGTTATGAGACTTCTTGATTTCTCTAAGGTGTTCGAGGTCGGGTGTGACGCCTCGGGCATTGGCATAGGTGGAGTATTGAGCCAGGAGAAGCATCCCATTGCCTATTTTAGTGAAAAACTTAGTGGTGCTAAACTAAACTACTCTACCTACGATAAGGAGTTCTATGCGATAGTGTAATCATTGCGCCATTGGCGGCATTATCTTTTATCGCAAGAATTCGTTATTTATTCGGACCATGAAGCCCTTAGGTATTTTAACTCTCAGAAGAAACTCAACGCTAGGCGTGCTCGATGGGTTAAATTTCCACAAGACTACACTTATACCCTTAAACACATGGTTGGAGTTGAGAACACGGTGGCTGATGCACTCAGTCGCCAAGCTTGTCTTCTAAACTGAATGAGTGCGGAGGTAGTGGGTTTCGAAAGAATCAAAGGGGAGTATGAATCATGTCCCAACTTTTGAGAGATTTTTGTTTCCTTAAAAGAAGTGACCCCCCGAGATGGATGACTTTCTGCTCCAAGAACGCTATTTATTTCGATTTCGCAAGTTATGCATTCTTCGTACTTCTTTGAGAGATTATCTTGTTTGGGAATTGCATGCAGTAGGCCTTGCTGGTCATTTTGGTCGTGAAAAGACTATAGAAGCTGTGGAAACTTTGTTTTAATGACCAAGCCTTAAAAGAGATGTTGCGAAGTTAATAGGACAGCGTCGCACTTGCCAATTAGCTAAGCAACGTAAATAAAATACTGGCCTGTACACACCTCTTCCTGTTCTAGATCGTCCCTGGCAGGATGTGAATATGGATTTTGTGTTGGGACTTCCTAAGACTATTAGAAAACATGACCCCCATTTTGTAGTTGTGGATCGTTTTTCAAAGATGACCCACTTTGTCGTGCAACAAAACATCTGATGCTTTCAAAATTGCTCGAATATACTTTGATGGTGTGGTCAAATTGCATGGTTTGCCCAAAAACATTATATCTGATAGAGATGTGAAGTTTATGAGTTATTTTTGGAAAACTCTATGGCACAAGATGTGGACTAAACTTCAGTATTCGACTGTTTTTCATCCCTAAACTTATGGTCCAACCGAGATAGTTAATAAGAGTCTAGGCAATCTTTTGCGCTGTTTGGTTGGTGAGAATTTAGGAAATTGAGATCTTCTGTTACCTATTGCAGAGTTTGCATACAATAGCTCAGTCAATAGATTAGTAGGCATGAGTCCATTTGAAGTTGTGCATGGTTACACGCCTAGGAAGCCTATAGACCTTATTCCCATGTCACATCATCTTAGGGTATCCGAGTCAGCAGTTGTATTTGCATTACACATTCATGATTTGCATCAAGAAGTCAACAAGAAAATTCACGAAAGCAATGAACATTTTAAGTCCCATGCTGATTTACATAAAAGACATCTTGAGTTTAACGAAGGTGATTATGTAATGGTCCGGATTCGTCCGGAACGGTTTTCACCTAGAGCCGTCAAGAAATTGCATGTTCGTAGTGCTGGACCTTTTAAGAATATCAAGAAAATTAACTCAAATGCCTATGTAATCGATTTACCTCTAGATTTCGGAATTAGTTCGACATTTAGTATTACAGATTTGGTAGCTTATAAAGGCCCCACTGTTTTAAAAAACCTCCGCCTAGTCCGCTTAGGCGTTCGCCTAGGCCTAGACGGTACCTAGGCCGTCTAACTAGCGTCTAGCGCCTAGGCGATATTTAGGTTGTCCACCTAGATTTTACGAGCGTTTAGAGGAGCATTGTCTGCTTACGTGGATTGCACCCTGTAGGTCTTGGTTGTGATTTTATGTGTTGTAGCCTACACGTCTTCCAAACTCCATTAACCTCCAAATATGAACACCTTCACTACCTCCTCCGACCTTCAACAAAACCTCACCGACCACCACTTAAATGAAGAAAGAAATCCGCCTAGACACCAGTCCGACATCTAAGCTTTCTGTAACATTGACATTCACTATCAATTATTATAATTAAAAATAAAAAAGAAAACATCTTAGGTTCTAGCCTTGTTAATTATTATTTTGGCTATTTAATATCTAAGTATGCATGATTTACTGTGGAACCAAAATTGCTATCTTTTTTTGAAAATTTATATGAATTTAATACATATTATAATTTGAGTTGAGATGAACTTATAATTTGAGTTGAGAAGTATAAACATACAAAGAGTTATTGTAATTAGTAAACCAAGCAATTTAGTTAATAGTGTTGGTATTTTAGTATTTATGCATCTTTGATTGAGTATATATATATTTATCTTCAAGTATCACAATTAAAAAAATAATTTAGAAAAAAAACGCCCAGAAACCGCTTAGGCGCCCGCCTAGATGACTAAGCGCTGAGCGCCAAGTCCGACGCCTAGAAGCGCCCAACGTTTAATGTAACATTGAAAGGCCCTCCTTTTAACCCTGAAAATCCACTTGTGGATCTTGATAAGCTTACCCCTTATCCTTTCCTTGAGGGACCCCTGTTGCCACCACTGCCTATTACTTTTGTCCCATTTACAGCTGAACAGATTGATAGCATTCGGGATGACCAAATCATCTCCACCCGAGATGGTGGTTGCAGACGATATCTAGTGCATTGGAAAGATCGTCCTGAATCTGATGATACATGGATTACTCGTGAGGACCTGCAACACCTGGCTCCGGATCTATTGGAGTATTATGAGGGCCAGTTGCAGCCTTACTCCACAAGGTCGAATTCTTCCCACCCTGGGGGAATTGATATGAGGACATCGCACAACCCCCACTTCGCACATATTTTCGACGTTGCCATCGTGTTGCCTCAGCTCATATGTAGGCTTGGAGCCTAGCTAGTAGTACTTTTATTTCCTCTTTATTGTATTTACTCAATAATTTTAGTCCCACATCGGATATGAGAGTGAACTTGTATTTGTTGAAAGCCTATTTAAAGAGGTCAATTCTATGAAATAAAGGCAATGATTATTTGAAGAAAATTTTGTTTCCATTTGTGAAACTTTGGGTAAATTGATTTGATCTCTAAGATTGAGTCAATGGTGGTGAAGCCAAGACCCGGGTTGCGATCCGTGGTCATATTTTGTTAAAATTGTTAATTTTGCTATCTTTCCAAACCCTACTTTTTCCCAATTCCTTGTTCTTCCCCAAATCTCTCAAATCCCCACCATAAATTCCTAAAAATTCCGTTGTCCCGCATCATGTTCACTGCTATGTTTTCTCAGCACGTGTTCTCTTATCTTGTAATCTTTGTGCTCTTGCGAGTTTGTTTTGCTTCTCATTTCTGTTAGGTTTGTTTCTAACGTAGGAGATGTTTGGGGTCAGGGGTTTGCGAGTGGAACCAAAGTGACAATCTCCTAAGGCTGCATATAGTTGTGAATGGAAGCAAGGGAAGTAAGGGCCTGTATGTTTCACCAATTTTATGGAATAGGAATGGTATTTGGACCTGACAATGGCGTTTTCGTAATTAATGGATTCCAAATGAATCCTAATCTTGAGTTTGGTTCTAATTTTTTTTATAGAATTGCTAATCTATAAAGTGGCTCAAACAGTGTATATTTCAGGAAATCCAAATCCAGTCTATTTGCTAGGAATTGGGTGGAATTTCTGACACCTCTCCTCTTTTTTATTCTGATTCCTAATCCTATTCCTAATCCTTTGGGTGAAACAAACATAGAATACAAAAAAATGGGATTCCATAAAACTAAAACTTGTCTATAAATTTTTTATGGATTAGGTTAGAATCCATAAATAAAATAGGATTCCTAATCCTATTCCTACCCTCTATTGAACCAAACAGGCCCTAAGATGCAATAAGGTTATACTGACATCATCTTGGTAATGAAGAACCATGTAAGGTTGAGTGTCCTTTGTTTGGAATGTTTGGAATGAGAGAGAAAGGCCATACACTGGCTGTAGCAGAGCCTTGCCCCTTTCACTTGAAGGCAGAAGACAGGAGAGCCTTGAAACCTAAATCACAATACTGGAGGCATCACAGCAGTTTACGTTTTGTGAAATCCTGTTTAGTTTTGGGTCAGGGGTGGAAGAAAGTCTTAGGAAACAGATCGAAGTGCCTGTCCCTTCTTTTTCATCAGGTTCTTATTTCTAGTAGACTGCATCATTCTACACCCATTTTCATGTTTTCAAATCCTTATTTTCTTACCTTATTTATATAGAGTGCTTGAATTTTTTTGTTTCGGTTCTTTCATTCTATAGTTTGTTTAACTCCTTAAAGGGGTAATTTGTGCTGCACCTGAAGGATTGTAGTAACATCTATTTAGCTAACATGAGGTTAACAACTTCTAACTATTACTGACAACCATTTTTTCATGTTTCATGCCAGCCAAAAGGTGCAGCTCGATTAATGAGGCGCAGTGGAGCTTCGTTTGATCAAAATCATAAGTTGACTGGAAGGGCTATTGGGGATTTGAATCCTGAATCTCCCGCAAGTTATAATAGCTCAGTGGAGGTATTCACGCAGTATGTTTTCTTGTAAAATTTGTTGGCTTTTGCGACTATGCTAACTGTGCCAGGTCAAGGCTTGATTTTCAGTTCTAACTCTTCATATGCATCTTCTTTCTATTTTTTCTGTTTCTTTCTGAGATCTGTTTGCTGTAATTTTGTGATCTCGCAGGTTTCCTCTCTGAACCAGGCTATCACCCCTAGCAGTTCTTTGGATCTCAAGGGAAGACTTCGAGGGTCAGGTCACAATATAAAAACTTCTACAGAATTAGTGAAAGTTTTGAACAGAATATGGAGCTTGGAAGAACAGCTTGCATCCAATGTATCTTTGGTTAAAACGCTGAAGGTGGAGCTGCATCATGCGCACTCACGCATTCAGGAATTGACGCAAGAACAACAATCATATCGCCATGAAATGGATGATCTAATGAAGCGTGTTTCAGAAGACAGGCTATCCAGGAAACATAAAGAACAGGAGAGGATAAAGGAAGCAGTTCAGTCCATGAAGACTGAGGTTGAAGATGAAAAGAAGCTGAGACAATGGTCAGAGGGCCTACACCGCAAATTAGCTAAGGAGCTATCTGAAGCAGATTCAGCATTTAAGATGACTCTGAATGATCTACAAAGTGAAAGAAATGCACGTTATTTGTTAGAGGATCTTTGTGACGAGTTTGCAAAGGGACTTCAGGAGTATGACCGGGAAATACAAAATCTGAAGCAAAAGTTTGGGAAAGATGGTAATCATAGCTTGGATCACTCACTACATCATATATCTAAAGTATGGATGGAAGGAAGGTTGCAGATGAAAATCGCAGAAGCTCAGGGAGATGAGGCTGAGAAAAAAAGTATACTAAAAGGGTTATCTGCTAAAATTACATCATTTGTTCAAGCAAGAAGGCTAAATGGTAGCGCACGGCGAAAGGGTGAAAAGGAAAGTAGTTTGCGGCGTCGTTCTCTTGAGTCAGTTCATTTAAATGCAGCTGTGGGTGCACCTCAAGATGCAGAAGATGATGATTCTGTAGTTAGTGACTTGCATTGCTTCGAGCTCAACATGGATGTTAAGGACAATGTGAGCCAGTCTAGCTTGAAACAGAATGATGAAGAAGGCATGGAAAGGTTAAAAGGGAAAAACAGAGCTACCTTTAGAAATGGAAAGTTGAAATATCCTGAAGATCATGATATACACAGCCTGAAACAAGAGAGGAACGAACTATGCAATGGAAGCAAGATGCATCATATTCATAGCTCAAGAGGAAACTCCTCACATAATGCTATTGAAAGATGTAAAGTTAATCCCGAGAATGATCACACTGGTTCCTGCAATCAATTCTCAGTGAGCAGTCAAATTACCCAAACCGGCGAGGCCAATGCTTCAGGTTCAGGTGGCCCTCATAATCAACATACTCTTCTGTCACAGTGGAATTTCCATCATACACCATCTGATCAGGATATTTCGAGAAGCTCATCAAAACTTCCTCCGACAGTAAAAGAGAATTCTTTGAAAGAGAAGTTACTCGAAGCTAGGTTAGAAGGACGGAATGCTCGCTTGAGAGCTTTGAAAGATTCTTCTTTTGGTGGAATACAATAGTGGAACAGTACGACTTCATAGTCAAATTGACCAAGACACTGTTTTCTTTGGAATCCTTGGTTTGTTTACTACTGTTTAGGGCATTTCCAAAAGTGGCTGATGTAATCCGGTGTTTTTGTGTATTATATGTATATAATCCGAGGTTTTCTATCAAGAATTGCAGTCACGTGAGACATTTATATATAACCAGATTATATTTTCACATATTGGTATGACTCATGGGCTATATATATCTGCTAGATATCAACTACTATCGGTTACCACCATTTCTTACATTTTGCAAGGCCAAGGTGAGGATCTTTGATTATAGCAACTTTATTGCAATCAGTCTTCTACATTATATGGTTTCTTTGAAGCCTATTACATTATTATTAATCGTGGTTTACTTTTTTTACTTTCGATAATGTTTTTGCCTTATATCTCGTTGTTTCTCTTTGATATATGTATTGGTTGTTGACTTAACCATGTATTTACGGGGAGAATCAGCCATATGTTGTATTCAATGCAGATAAGCCTATGTTTTCTCTGGTGTTATGATAGAGGAATTGGGTGGTATGCGTAATGGGTTTGAAGTAGGGGTGCATTTGGTTTGGATATGGTTCGGATATGATACTTACCATATCCATATCCGTTTACCAATCATGGATACGAATACAGATTTAAGTAAAGAAAATTTATAGCCATATCTGCTACAATCGAATGCAGATACGGATGTACATGCGGATATGCATGCATATACAAAACGAATATGAGAAAACTAGATGATATTGAAAAAAAAAATAGTCCATGTGGTACAAAAGAGTTCATTAATATGTTATTTATATCTGAACAACTAAGATTAGACTTATTGATCATCAAAATTAACCTCGAATCCATAATCTAAGGATTAAAACTATTGTAGCAGTATGACAATATGTATTCAGATATTTCGGATATGGGTCTGGATGTTTCACAACAAAACTGTATCCATAACCATATCCATATGCTTGCGGATACGGTTACAGATATTTTCTTGGATACGGATACGGTTTAACACCCCTAGTTTGAAGTGGATATTGTGTTTCCATTTGAGTTTTGGCTTAATTTATATCTCAGAGATTTATTTAACCTGGATTCTTTGTGAATGGAAGGAAAGCTAAAGATTCTCTTTGTGGTTAAATGAACGCTAACTGCATGATCCTTTTTCTGATCATTTTTGACATATATATATGACACAAATCTTTTTTCTTCATTAGACATGCTGCAAAACTACATTGACTGCTTAAGAATTTCGCACCGGAAGTTGTCATCTAGAGATTCAGTGGATTTCTATACATTAATGATTCCCTGTTCAGGTAAAAAGGCAGCTGTTATGTTTTCAGATGCACAGCGATAAAGTTTAAATAAGTAAAATTGTAGTCGCTGCTTAAGCAAGTGAGAGTCTAAATAAGTTTCTTGAGAGAAAATGATTTTGCATCTTTAACTATGATGGTTGCTGCAAACAAAACTTTTTTATAACAACTAATGGCTATTAGAGAATTAGACACCATCATGAGTCCATTAGCAGTTCAAGAGTTGGGTAATGCTTAATAAATTGTTAGCAAAAGTCGATGAATATATGCAAAATCAGTCAGGATATTGGATTGGTTAACATGGTTAGTTACTTAATTGTTGCTTAAGCTGAAGTTTGTGCTGAACATGTCAGATTACTTTCTGTAATTGTTAGAAACAAGTCTATTAGAGAAACTTGGACATGCAAGTTATTTAAATGTGAACTAACTTTAGGTGTTTAAGAGCGTCAAATGACAAGTATAGGAGGCACCAGGTAGCAAAAGAGAAAAATCACAGTGATCAAGTAAGATTGCCTTTAGTATTGTAATTATTATTTCTATTTCCGGTGTCATCAATTATCATATCCAAGTGGGACGGATGCACTTGTAAAATTCTTCAATGTTTATCGTGTGAGCTCCTTTTTGGCACCTGTATAATTATTGGACTGTTGCTGAACTTTCGGTTTCTGCTGCACTGTTACTGTTCATTCAATTTTGAGTATTAGGCGTTCAAATCCTCCTGAATGAAAGGTTAATATCCTAGGCTCTTATACAACTTCCAACTTTTTTTTAGAAGAAAGGATGAGGTCCATGTGATCCCGTCCATTTTTAGAAGATATGAACCAATGTACCACCCAAAGCCACCGAGAACTTTAGCAAATAAGAATTACTCTCATGAACCTGCAATTTGTTCTCTATTTTCCCATCTTTTCTTCTTACTCTGGTCCTGTGGTTATCCCCTGAGTAGGTGCAACATAGATTTATAGCAGCAAAATGAAAGACTTTTTAATTTTCTTCTTTTGACACCATTGAAATACTAAGGCCACGGATGATGATGATGGATAACATATTCCAATTCCCCCTATTTCCTTTCTGATCTTTCCTAAATACTAAATAACTAATAAACAAAAAAAAGATGCAGGCCACCCATCATCTTGTTCTTCTTACGCTACTTTCTGACAAAGCCACAGCTCAAGTAAAATGAGATCTGGCTATCAATAGTGCACTTCCTGTGTTATATAATAGAAATATTCCTCTTTGGTTTCTTTTCCCCCAAAACATCTTTATTGTGCATCTGGATATCCACAAAATCACAAAATCATGTGACTTTAGGTGGATTTCGAGAATATTAATTCACGATTTGGTAAGTGTTTGGATAAATAAAAGAATATAGAATTCTCCTAAAAAATCATGACATCTAGAGTTTGTGGATTTTATACTCTTTTCATTCTGCATTTTGCATTTCCTATTTTTGCCTTTATTATATTTAATGCTAAACAAACAATAATAAGATTTAATAAATTTCTGAAAATTCTAAATTTGTGAAAGCGAAAAAATATTGAAATTTTTTGGTGTACAAGTAACCCTTTTCTACTACCAGCTTAGCCTAAGTGATAATGCTTTCTACATTGGTATAAGGTAAACACCTGATTTGGGCTTTTAGTGTGATTTTGCTAGTTATTGTTGTACACTTGTACTTACTCCGGATCTTGCAACCTGATCATATTTTCTATAGATAGCACGAGGACAAGGATTCACATGCAATATACATGTTTATACGTGTTTGTATTTGATTTATGTTTGTATGTGGAAGGAACTTGAAAGAACAAATATTTTGACCTGGGTCATGAAATGGATTGATGCCAGCAGCGGGTATCTTTTCAAGTGTTCTGCATGTGCTGCAATATGAATATGCAGGCATGCCAAGTTTAAGTAGGCTAAGTGCCCTAAATATTAAGGAGTCAATTGTTTATTTGATTTTATTCTTTATTGCAGGATGGTACATCAGGAGTTGCAACTGGGTCATCTATGCAAATAGCGATGTACGTTTTGATGTTAAGCTTTGTTAAGTTTTATGACTTGCGTTTTATCTATAACGAGCTCATACTTATCATTGCAAGTAGATAGATCTTCTCTACCTTAGTTTATTTCATTAACATTGTGTTAGATTGCATTCATTTGTTCGTAACAAAAACTCTATGGATCTTATATTTTGAAAGTAAAATAATAGTTATTTTCAGATAAGGTTTGTCAAACAATCTTGTAGCATGATTTCTTAAACTTCTTCCTACAGTTGTATTCATTTAATATATAGAAGGCAGTGACTTCCAGAGAGATAATGGAAAATTGTTTTATCGTAATCAGTTAGTTTTGGTCAATCATGAACTATGTAATTATGAAGATGTACTATAAATAGAAAACTGTAAATTCATGTCATCGAGATACTTGTGAACACTTGAACGTGAAGATATCATCACCAGACATACTCTTTTGCTTTATTCATTCTTTTAGACGCTTGGGGTTTTACATTTAGATGATTCTCTCCTTCTATTTTTTAATGTATATTTATGTACTCACCTTACAAATATTATAATCCATAAAAATTAAATAACTTTTTGCCTATTACAGTTGCAATAAACAAGTTCGATATGAAATTAGATGCAGAAAGAAAGTAATGTAAACTCATCTTTTACTCCTTATGCTGTGAAAATTTCACACTCACTCGGGCAGGAGGAAGGGAGGGAAATAAATGTGACGTGGCAAGTCTTGAAATTTGCATCTAGAGTCGTTTATAATTACCTATCAGGTTGTTTTGGGGTTTATCAAAAATATTTGTTAGGATCTGCATCCTCTAAAATCTAAATGTTTAAAAATTCCCATAATGTAACAATTTCTGATAAAACATTATGTGACCACCTGATAAAACTTGTGTGTGTGTGGGGAATCCTGATAAAACATTGATATTTGGTGCGCACGCGCGGGCGTGTGGAGGAATCCTGATAAAACATTGATGTGGTGAAATCAGAATGAATTACTTTACCCCTCAGTAGAGTGACAAGTACTAGGTGTAAAACACCTCTTCACATATACTTCATCAGTTTTTGCATCGAGTCATGTTTTCTTTCTGCACTTTATACAAGAGATAGAACTACAATAGAAAATTTGTTTAGTAAAACCATATAATTGCTCTAATGTTGTACTTGATTTATGATTTTTTTTTACTAAAAAGCTCTATCACCTGTACTAGGTGATGAAATGAGGATGAATAGTTTTACTCATCAGTAGAGTGACAAATACTAGGTATAAAGCTCCTCTTCACATAAACTTCATCAGGTGTGGCCTCGAGTCATGTTTTTTTCCTCACTTTATACGACACGATAAAGCAACAAGAGAAAATTTGTTTAGTAAAACCATAAAATTGCTCCAATCTCGTACATAATTTATGATTTTTTACTACAAGGCTCTATCACCTGTAAGTACTAATCAATATGGGCGAACTTCAGATGGCATGAACAAAAACTGGAGCTGTCTGTTAAATATGATATATCTTATGAACATATTGTACAAATATACTTTTTTTTATGAGGAAACCAAGATGAGCTTGTTCATTTAGTTTATTTTATTTTTGGTGGAGTGGGGGTTAGGATGGGGATGGTAGAGAGGTTAATTATCTACTATTATTTCTGGAGATATCAATGACAAGGATTTGCAAGGTCTGAAGGCTGGCGGTATTTATCTCATTTAGCTCTGGCTTGCTATATGTTTGGGAGTTTTTTGTAGATAAATTTTTATTTCTTACTTTCAATAGTTGCTGCTGCTGTCATTTTAAATCCACATTGAAATGACAATAACTATGTTGATTGTATTTGACTCAGAATGAAAGTACCTACTGATAA